GGGGGAGGAGGAGGAGGTCGGCTCACTTGTCATCCTGGTCAGGCTCTGCTGGAGGTGATCTCCTATCTCTTCAACCGTCGGGCTGCTGTCGCGTATCTTGCCGCTACCGTTCGCTCCCCTGAGATGATCTCGTTCCTGTGCGAGGAGATGTCAAGACTTGGCATGCAGTTCCAAGACGTGGCGGCGGAAGCGCCGAGACAAGATTTGTTCGGCTCTTACGCTCTTCTTCAAGACGCTCGAGTCAACCTCTACCGCATCGAGCCCGGCAGCTGAGTCGATGGCGGATCGTACGGGGTCGGGGGCCGCGTACGTTTGGAGTCCGCCGTGGCCGTGTCATATCTGACTTTGCTCAGGACTCGGGCGCGGGAGCATGACAGGCTCCCGAGCTTTACTCAAAGTTAAGTGCAATATGATCGGATAAAAATGAACGAGGCCCTCACAATGCCAGACCGTCTCGGCAATGCCGCAGAGCGGCCCTCAGCCTCGGCCCGGCCCGCCGCCGCTTTCCGCCGTGACGGCGCCGGTTCCCCTCACGGTCGGACCCGCGGACGGTGGCGTACGGGCGGGTCACAGACTGAGAGTCGGCCACCGTCGCCGCCATCGCGGTGCCACGGTGACTGGCAGGCCGCCGCGAGTTTCGCCCGGAAGTCATTGGATCGGATGCCAGGCAGACTCGGGCCGGCCCGGAGGCCCGGCACGCACTGGCACGCGGCCCGGCGCCCTAGTACGGTACGGTACAAGGTACGCCGTTCCGGGACCATGTGAGGCTTCAAAGTTTTGAAGCTTGACTGATCAAGTTTGAAAACTGAAACACAAATTTAGGGATTTAATTTCATGGCAAGTTCATCACCCTTACAAGGACCCCACCCCACCTTTCCTGACGAAGTTTGGGGTCCTGTTCCACAAGAGTTCCGACTTCTTTAGAAACAGAGGGGTGGGGGTTTGACAATCAATTACCCCTACCCATGTATCTTACCTACCCACTCTCATCAAAAATTTGCCCGATTATTCGGGTGGGTACAAAGTTTAAAGACCCCTCTTTTGTTCTCAATCATATTGTATTTGCACGGGTACCAAATGATTGTAACCCCCTTCAGCACACGATTCAATTCCAAGTACCCCTTAGAAATAGAGGTCCACACCTACCCTACCCTTTCCAAAACCTTATTCATCAACTTGATGCGGGAGGACCCCCACACGTGCCCTCCCCCCCTGACGATGGCAGCGCACCCTATCCTATAGCCCGACTCCACAGCTCATTGCTATCCTCCTCCTCCTCCTCCTCTTCCTTGTCCTCCCTCCTTGTCCTCCTCGTCCTCGTCCTTGTCCTTGCCCTTGTACTCCTTTGAACCAGCATTCCTACCAGAGCTTTCATCTCCGACCACCACCTCGTTCCGTTCCGTTCCATTCCAGACATTGTTTGTCCTTCTCATTCACTTTGAAGTGCCCTCCTCCTTGTATATCCTTTCAGAGATTTCTTCCATATCAATATACACTCCGGGCCTTGTTCATTGTCAATGCTTCTGTGCTTTCGATGGCTACACCTCCCCCCGGTGGCAAAAATGAGATTTCGTCTCGTTCAGATGTTGTCCGGCCTATGTTGCTCGTTCCTCACTCTGGTATACCTGCCGATTTGCTGCTTCTGAGCGAACCTCTCTTATCTGTCATCACTTTCGAAATGTTCTCCTCACCTAGCCTCTACCCTGCTTACCAGTGCTTGACGTTCACCATTCGTACCTTATCACTTGGCTCGGTGCATGAAGCTGTCTGACTGCTGGCAGCCCAGGGTTTGGCCGTTACAGAGCACAAGAACTCAGGATGAAAATCGATCCTGAAGGTGATGGAGCAGGAGGGATTCTTTCATGGGGTGACGCGTCAAGCAGCAGCCGAGTCGCGCCCCAAGATCCCTGAGTTGCGGCATCGAGACTCGCTCACAGTGGAGGTTTCGACTGCTCCCCGTCTGTTACGTTCGCAATAACATTTCCTGCAAGGTCAAGACACGATGGATATCGGCGCAGACTCAGAACGACCTGGCGCGGATGGGGATGGCGGGGTTGGCCAGCGTCGTAGCGCAAACATGCACGCAGCCTGTGGAGGTGGTGAAGACGAGGCTGCAGATCTCAGGGGAGGTGGGAGCGGCAGCGCACAAGACGTACAACTCATTCCTGGGATCTGCCACGATGGTGGCGAGAAACGAGGGTTTCTTTGGCCTCTACAAGGGGATGTCGGCAGCCGCGCTCCGGGAGATGTCGTACTCGTCGCTAAGGTTCGGCCTTTATGAGCCGTTCAAGCGCGTACTGGGGGAGAGTGATGCGAAGCACACTCCGATATGGAAGAAGTTTGCCTCGGGGGCAGCGGCAGGGATCGTGGGATCAGGGCTGGCCAACCCGACCGACGTTCTCAAAGTTCGCATGATGGCCAACGAGGGCGAGCCCAAGAGGCTCATGACGATAGCGAAGGAAGTGTATGCTGACGGCGGTTTCACTGCCTTCTATCGGAGCGTGCATACAACGATGATTCGAGCTGCCATTTTGAACGCGACCAAGCTCGCAGCTTACGATGATCTGAAACAGAACCTCCTCAAGCACCACATCATGCAAGAGGGCATGGTATTCTCTTGAAACTCGCCCCCTCCCTCGCTTGTTGACCTGCTTGTCTCTTTGCAGGCTCTGCACTTTTGCTGCAGCATGTTTGCGGGGGTGATGGTTGCTGCGACTACTAGTCCAGTAGACCTTGTAAGGACAAGATTGATGAATCAGCCAGCCGGCAAGAAGCTGTATTAGTCAACAAGTGCCCTGTAACCTCCCTCTGACATTCTTTTGTCCCTTGGCTTCCTCCCCCCCCCCCCCCCCCCCCTCTTCTCTCCCCGTTCTCCGTTCTCCGTTCTCTCTCCCTCTCGCAGGTACACGGGCATGATAGACTGCGCCATGAAAATCGTGAAGCAGAATGGGGTACGCGGCCCCACTTCGCTCTCGCTGCCTTCTTGACGTCCCCGCAGATCATGGCGCTGTACAAGGGATTCAACGCTCAATGGATGCGGTTCGGTCCCTTCACCATTGTGCAGTTCATGGTACGTCGTTCTTTGCCCGCCCCCGCCCTCTCACGCTTGATGCTTCGCAGTGTTGGGAGAGGATGAGAGCCTGGTACGGCATGAAGGGCATCTGAGCCCAGTGGGCGGCGGCGCTATTGTTATTGTTTCTACGATCGCATCTGAATTTTTCTCAAGTGGAGTGAACTTTCTAGTCTGCAACTTCTAATTGAAAGACTGCGACTTCTAAAGACTGCGACTTCTACTTGAAGTTTGTACTCTTCTATGTGCTCCTCCCTCTGCCTCTGCTCTCCTTGTTTCCCTCTCCGATGCCGGCAAGAAACCGTGGCACTGGCTGGCATCCTCTGATTCCACACTTCACTTCTTGATCGCATTGCTGTCACTTCACTCTTGTGTTCCCTATCACACAGCAGCAGAGATTCTTTCTTTTCTATTCTTTTCATCTGCTCCATTTCGTGTCTCTATCAAATTCCTTTGACTCAAGTCACTTGATGATAGGATAGCGCCTTGTATAAATATCCTCGCTCCCTCCTGTTGTCCTAACATGTCCCTGTCCTCGGTCTCAGTCCAAATCCCTCCCTTTGCCTGCCCTTCCACTCCATTGCTCTTCTCTCCCTGCCTCGCCATGTTTCTCCGTTGGTTGCTAATACAGTACATGTTGGATCCGGAATTTGAGAGTCGTTACTATTCTTTACACTACCCCTCCAATTTCATGATTGACCCCACCCTTAGAACAGTCATGAAAAACCAAAACATTCTCACCCCCTTCTTTCCCTTGATATGCTTCTAAAAGTACCCCCATCCATAAACATTCAATCATCCCCACCCCCTCGAATTACCCACCCACCTCCTCATCCGATCTCTTAGTCCTGAGAGTTCACTTCCACTTGTTTTGATTGCCCACCCCAGCCTCTAGACCCCTACCTACTCAAACTATAACAGACTACCCACGTAAATCTCGGTCACATTTGACCCCACCCTCCAAATCCAATGTAGCCCTACCCCACAATTTCCCACGGGTCATCTTCGGCGACATCCTCGGCAGCCATGGCAGAGGCGGCAGGGAAGAACCTGCTTGACGAGATGCTGGAGGAGGCGACAGAAGCGCAAAAAGTGAGGCCATGCGTATGATCTCCCTCCTCCCTCCTCCCTCCTCCCTCCCTTCCCTTCCCTCCTCCGACAAGTCGTCGGACATGATCGTCTTGTCTCCAATCAGTTTGAAAGCCCAATATAGTCTGACCGCACCATCTTGTACCTCATGTTGTGCAAATGACTCTCTCTCAAGACCATTCCCGTCTTCATTCCCATCAAACCCATTGAACGCTGAACAACCATGTTCCAACTCGGAACAAAGTGCCTAGCTGTCTGTTTCACGCTCTCCTCGTCTCATTGCTCTCTTTTTACTGACCCTTACCTTAGAACTCTGCTTTTGGTGCTGGATCAGGCTACAGCCAAGAGCAGGTCAATTCCTCCGGATCCCCCATAATAATTCCTCTCACCGCCACCTCTGCCACCTCCGCCAGCTCTCCCATGCTTCTCCATCAGAATGTATGGCAGCAGACAATTATGGTCTCAGGCCTCCCTCGCTGACCGTGAGCTTGTTGCATGCAGGGTAACTCCGAGTTCTTCACCTGCAAGTACAGCTGTGGGTTCTCCGGGGAGTTCGAGGCCGTGGACGCGCATGAGAGGCAGGGCGACTGCGTGCAACGCGTCGTTGCCAGCGAATCGGCGGCAGAGGGCTACGTGATGAGTCCTCAGAGCGGGACCTTCGGGGGTCTGTTCAGCGACAGCTTCACCGTCGACAGGTCCTTCACCTCGTACGTGACCAGGATGCCGCAGCTGCCGCCGAAGCCATGCACGGACTGCTCGTATGCAAAGGCGCAGTCAGAGGCGCTGTCGAAGCGGCTGGAGGACCTGATCAATGCCAAGTATCAGAACCAGATCATCGTCAAGGAGATCCTAGTCCCCGTCCCCCAAGTCAAGGTGGTGGAGCGAGTTGTGGATAGATACATCGAGGTGCCAGTGGAAAGGATCGTCAAGGAGATGATCGAGGTTTTCGCACTGGCCCCCATCTCCACAACCTCCTGACAACGTCCCCGCTCTGCAGGTTCCCGTCCCGGTCGAGAAGATAGTCATTCGTGAGGTACCAGTCGAGAAGATCGTCGAGAAGGTGGGCACTCGCCTCCGGGTCGAGGACGCTGAGCAGAGCGCTACAGGTCATTGTCAAAGAAGTTGAGAAGATCGTTGAGAGGGTGCGTTCCTTGTGTTCCTCACAGTCCCACAGTGTCTCACGAGCTGTTTGCAGGATCCTCCCGCTCCTCCTCGTCATGTAGCTACTTCACTCTGCTGCATCTGCAAGGAGCTAACTGTTGTCTTCCTCAGATCGGCCTCGGGCTCGGCCTAGAAGAGACTGTCGATGGCCGCATCTACGTTGCGGACATCGTCGAGGGATTCGCAGCCTCTCGCAATGGGCAGATCCGGGTGAACGACACGATCATTGGGATTGATGGGATGGACGTCATTGCAAACGGGCTCAACCTCAAGACCCTCATCAACGTACGTGTTCTCTTGCTGGTTGCCTTCCACCGCTCATCTGACAAACGGCTGCCAACAGCACACCCTGGGCCCTGAAGGTAGCTCATGCAGCCTAAGCCTGTCTCGCGATGGATATCAATTCACTGTCAAGTTGACAAGAGTCGATGGGAGTCAGGTGAGTCCCGGCCCTTCCTCGGCCTTTCCTTTTTCTGTCTCGCTGCGCTCGTCGAACCGCTCAATCTGCGTCTTCATATCCTCAACTCCTTGTCCTTTTCCTCTTCCGCCCTATCTTGTGCCCTAGCTAATGTCGACATCACAGATGTTGCGGAGCCCGGATACCAGCATCTACGGTCCGAACTCCTGCACTATGGACGCAACACCTCATACTCACTTGTTCTCCTGCAGCAACTCCGGATCTCCGCAGCAACCAGAGACTTTCTTCACAACCCTACCTCCAATCCTCAGTCAAGAGTCAGTAGTGAGTGCCCATTGTTCGTTCCTCTCTCTTGGCTCATGTTGCCGCACTGTGCCAGCAGCACGCCTGCGAATGGTCGAGCTCAGGATGGATGGTCGGGCTCCTCCGGGGCTGTGAGCATGGAGAGCAGGGGGCAGGAGCAGCAGGGCAGCATGATGGATTCTTGGTTCTTTAAGGGATTCTGAACATGATTTGGCATCGCGTGAACGTAGTTGATGTAAGAATATGACGAACACAGGAACAACCCTTGGGCTTTACGGAAAATGTTCACGTTATCGTAAATTACACTGAAGACCTCCTTCCCTCCCTCCCTCCGTTGCTTCACGTCGTCATTGTGCTGCGAGAGTCTCGCTTGATGCAGCGCCGACTGGTTCATCCATGTGCTGAGCTCAGATCTCAGGTAGCTGAACGACCTCGCCCAACTTTCTTGACGGGCCGGATACGGTGATGCCCTGGGTGATGATAATCTTCGACTTGTCCCTCTTCCTGTACGGTTTGCGTTGGAAAGGAGCGAGATGCTTCCTGCTCTCATCGGGATCGGAGGCATCCGAGACCTCGTCAGAGTTGGGGCCGTTAAGCTCCTCGTCGCTGTATGCCATCTTCTCCTGCAGTAGAAGTTTTGACTCAGGGCCGTCGGTGTTCAAGTCGCTCCTCAGGTCTTGAAACAAGTTCTCCTGCGACGACGACCCGAGCACCTTCATCTGGCTCTGCTGTGCGAGGGTTAGCAGAGACTCCGAGGACTTCGACACCTTGAGGTTTCCCATCGAGCGGTGCATCGATGGTGTTGCAACTGGCTCCGGAGAACGTGAGTTGTTCTCCTTGGCGATGACGTGTGCCCAGTATCGGGAGCCACTGCTCTTGCTGCTCCTTTCACTCGACGCAGCTCGTTCAAATCCCGACGGAGCTTGAGGGGCAGGTCTTGAACGGTCCAGGGAAGACGTCCTTTCAAACCCTCCGCCCGCCCTCGCTTTGTCGCCGGAGGGCACCCGCTCCACCAGAAAGCTCTTGCTCCCAGACAGGTTGTTCCTGACGTCGATTGGAATCCCCTCAGTACTCACCCTCCGCCCCTTTGGCATGCCCATATCCGTGTTGCCGATTGGAATCCCCTCAGTGCTCACCCTCCGCCCCTTTGGCATGCCCATATCCGTGTTGCTCACGGACCCTACATCTCCTTCGACACTTTTCCTCCTCCCGTTGATATCGACATAACTCAAGATCTTCTTGCCCATCAACGAGAGCCGTCTTAGGGAGTCCCTTCTACGAGTCACCTTGGCAGACATGCACAGGAGCAGCACGCCCCAAAGGACAAAAATCACCATGAATATAGCTGATGCAATGTGTATTCTGAATTCCACAGCTCGAATCTCCTTGAGTATTAGCCTGAGCTCCTCCATATCAACCACTTCCGAACTCACCATCTTCGCTGTTTCGGACAAGCTATCACGGTATCTTCGATTAAAAATCAGCCCAAATACTCTTTTTCAGCTCCCTTTAGCGGAAGGACACCAGACAACTCTTGTGCGGCGAGCTGTCACGGTAATGCTGATGCGGATATTTGTGGGGGGGGGGGGGGTGAGGTTGAAGGAATCTAGCACGTGAGAAAAGACGGGGAGAGGAAGGAAGGAGGAAGAGAAGCCTGAGTAGGTGCCTTCGCAGGAAAGGGAGGAGGAGGAGGAGGAGGAGGAGGAGGAGGATCAAAGGGTTGAAGCCAAGAAGGCGGCAATAAGCTGTTGACCGGAAGCAGGGGTAGGGAGGGAGGGAGGGAGGGAGGGCGTATTGAGTTTAGGGGGTGGAGCCCCTCAGCCTCCTACGTGTGGTGGTTACAATTATGGGTGGGTAGCCATAGATGGCTGTAGGGGGGGTGGGGGTAGGGGAGGGTACAGTTTTTACCAAAGAAAGGAGCAAACTCGTGGTGGGTAGGGTCTGCAACTGGGCATATATAAGACATGTGGAGGGGTGGTACAAAGATAAAGCAATCAGCTTCTAGGTTGGTGGGTGGTAGGGTACCAATCCGTACGGGAGGGTGGGGTAGTCATAGTCATAGTGATAGGGGCAAACTCTGTCCAGGTACCCCCCAGTGGTACCCGTCAATTCAAGGTCTTCGCCTGGGGGAGTTGAGGGGTAGTCGTGTATATCTGGTTGCCCAGCCTCTTGCCAGATAGATATTTTTGTACAGGTACGGGTGGTTCTGTGGTATCCACTGGGGTGGTGGTACTGTTGTTCCCTATGGGAAATGGTCCTAGATCTGAATAGTGTCGAGGCCATAGGAATTGGGGTACATTTGTGGTAAATGAGGTACACCCACCCCAATACCTCACACCCCAGTGTTTTCCCGGATTATGTTGATGTCCGTGGGGTGGTAAAGGGGTGGTGTGCATGACTGTGACACAAGCCAGGGTCCTTCTGGGGACTGGGGGTAGGAGTGGGCAGTATTTCTACAAGGGGTGGGGTGGTCCATTCGACCCAGATATATGCCTACCGACGACGGAGGAGGTTCAAGATAGGGTGGGGTATGATGATCGACGGGACAAACAACTAGACATATGGGTGGGGTAACCCGAACAGGGGTCTGTAATAGGAGGTTTACTAGTGGTTAAGAACCATTGAATGGGTGGTGGGGTGTAGACGACAAGGGGTGGGGGTAGATGTCACGATCACCCCCTTGGGGTCGGAGGGACAGGGCACGGTCAACATGAGATTTCATTTTTGAATTAAAAGGTGCACATGGTAAAGTTTAGGATATTAATATAAATTTCAAATCTCAGAGAGAAAAATTCATATTTTCATTTTCCGACAAGCCGGGCCCCGGTGACTACGGAATGGCCGGCTGCCGAGTATTTTTGTTTACTTACGGCAGGATCCGCACCAAAACAAATGGCGCCAGAAATGAAGGCTACACAGGACACGGAAGCCTCGAAATGACAGGAGATCCTGTCCCCAAATGCTTTCACAGGGCTCAGATCACCTGGAACTTCATTTCAAGTTTTGAGAGGCTGCCAGACTATCCAGGGTAGTTGTTTTTTTGTTCGCGGCTAGCACTGCCAACCAATACAGAAAACCTTCAGCGTCTCATTTTGTAGGTGGCAACCAGTGCAGGCAATAACGGGAAGAAAAGCCTTGAGCGGGAGAATGTGAAGGTAGGTAAGACAATGATATCATAGATGTCTTTATTTGATCTGTAACCCTCCTCAAATTTGCGTCGAGATTAGCTGGGTAAACCATGATCACAAAGCACCTACAACATGGACATTTCAAGGACTGTCTCCATCAGCCCGCAGCTGATGGTGGTTACACTCCCCCACGTACTGGCCATGCTAGTCGTCAGGTCTGTGCTGTGAAGCACGCGGCCAATTCCCAGGAAAATATTTGTGCCGTCCATAAAGGTGTCATCCTCAAAGCACCTCTGCTGGACCACACACAAAGGTGAAGAGTAGAGATGTGAAGTTTATTTGACAACACAAATACACTGTCCATTCATGGCATAAACAGCAAAGGAAAGGACAGACCACCTGAGCAGTTGTTGACGATCCTTTTACAGTAGAGGGGAACCACCAGGGGTGGTGAGGCTCACGCACGAGCGAGCATCCCTCGTGCGTCCGCTTAGATCTGCTGCCTGCTCCTCCTCGAGGTTCAGCCAATCGTACCAGTACAGGGGGTAGGAGGTACCACCCGTACTTTGCACACTCTGTCGCCCAACAGGGGTTGTGCTCCAGAGGTCCAGTAGCTCTTAGAACCCTTGCTGCACTCGTGGCTGTAAGAGAAGACCATAGCTCTGTTGCTGCCCACTCCTGTTCAATAAGATTCCTTCCTGCGGAGGTTTGAGCTCGCCTTCGCAGAGCTCTTATACGCTCCAGCTGCTGCCTTCTTGGAGAGTACTCTCTCTGAAGACTTCGGCGCTTCCAGCTCGCTGATTTTTCTTCCCAGCTGGTGCGATCGTCGAGCAACTTGGCGACTTCGTAGAAACCTAAAATGTGTCATGCAAAGCATTGACAGCGTTATCAGACCCGCCGATGATCGAAAGTTCCATCTCAAGCACCTGGCAGCCTGCGACAACTTCAATGAGACACGACAACTCGCTCTCCTTCCCCTCCTTCTCCTCCCCTCCCTCCCATAACACATCCTGCTCTCACTTGACTTCTCAACGTTGAGCGTGTACAACCTGCCTGCTCTCGCTGTCAGTTGACAATTCCCTTGTACGCTGCTGGTCAGCTATCCCGTGTCGTCAAGCTCCGACAAGAAGACTTTCCTTGTTTCCCCGGCTCGCTAGAGGAAGAGGTCGTCGCCCGATAGGCTCGTGAGTCGGAGACAGACACGGGGAATAGGACGAGCAGTGAACAAGTCCAGGACACGGACGAGGAGGGGGCTCACAGTGACGAGGAGAGCAGCCACCCTCTGCTCGCTGATCTTGTTCCTGGCAACAACCAGCTCTCCAAGCAGCACGAATTCCTCAACCGTCCCTCCTCCTACCGTTGGCACCTCGCTGTCGAACTGAACGTGGAAGGGGAAGGGGAAGTTTGTGATTTCTCGCACCGTGGCCCACTTGTGGTAGCTCGAGTCAGTGATTGGTTCCAACCCCTCGATCTCCACCCTCGTCCTGCTCCTTCTACTCATGAGCATGCTCGCCGCCCCGTTCACGTTCTTCCTCCCATCCCTGTCCAGCTTGACGCCCAAGGGAAGCACATCCTCAGCTTGTATCTCGATGGGCTGAGTCCCCAGCTTGTATCTCGATGGGCTGAGTCCCCAAGCAGGGAACGATGAGCACTTCAAGCTCAAGCTGCATGCTGCATGTGCCAAAGCTGTTCCGGCGGCGCCGTCACCTGACGTGCACGTGAGGAGGGCGAAGAGATCGACAGCCAGGAGGAAAGAAAAAGGAGCGGAGCCTGGGAAGACAAAGGAATAGCGACGAGGACCAGAGATGCAGCACATGGTAGGCCATGAGGGCATGAGCGGTATCGCTTCTTCTGGCGTCCTGAATATCGTACAAAGGTGAAGCTACACGGACACGTGTCCCATACCCCTTGGGATCCAAACGACAGCGGAATCAGTGGCGGGCCTACTCCCAAGCCCCCTAATAAGGCTGAGATCCTACCAGAAAGAAAGGAGATCCTACCAGACTCTCACGGGGGCACGGTAGCAGAACCAAGACGCTGCTGTCTGCGTCGCCATGGCCAGAAGTTCAAAGCATCGTAAGAATGCGGGCAAAATCATCCGCAAGCTGAATCAAAACAAGTCTTGCAACAGTGTCGAAAGTCAACTCTATACCAACCTTGCGCCTGTCACAGTCCCGATGATGCGCTTTCCGAGCTTGAATCGAATAGAAGATCTTTCGTGGATCAATACTGCTCTGTATCGCATTGCCTGGAACAACATGTTCGTCGCGGGGAGATCATCGAGTCAACTTCAAGGCATTTCTGAAGAAAGCAAAACGTACACCTTGAATTGCGAATTTCAGTTCGACCTCTATTTTCGAATCTTACTGCAAGTTACCCCAACCATGACTTTGAGAGGAAATTTGGAATGCGTACTGGACTTTGACGATTCTTCGAAAGAAGCCAGCTCGCTCGTCATCGCCTTACACACATACGGTAGAGAGGAGGACGAGGATGCCAGAAAGCAGCTAGAGCGTCTTGTTCTGATGGAAAATGATCTTGTACATTTTGAAATCACTCAATGTACCTCAAGTATTGTACAGAAGTTCTGGCAACTTGAAACTGCTTTGTCGCTCAGGCAACAAATGTGGCCACCGGACCAGGCTGAAAGCAGCAGCACCAGGCTGGTGGCGATGGGCGTGATAGTCCGAGGAAGCAAGGCTGTCTTCGTCGACAACGCCATTCATATTGTTAAGGAATGGCAGCTGGCCAAGGAGGCTAACATCTTACTAGCTCAGTGCGGAGTACCAATCTTCCTGTGTCATGCAGAGCCTCAGACTGTCTGTAGCATGTTCAATGACGTGAGAACGAGCCTCAAGGTACTTCAAGTCATGTCGGATGACGCCTCGAATTTTCGACATCGGTGACTCGCCCCTTTAAAGGAATATCGAGACGACGTCGTTCAAACGGTTGAGAAACACATGGTATGTAGAGCACGGTGTTAGTAGCGGAGGCTCGAGTCAGCCTTGAAGCGGCCACTGCGAGGGATTGACGGTAACAATGCGGCAGGAGCCTGTCAGCAAGGATGTACACGAGCTCGAGAGCAACACGGGTACGATGTTGTCGGTGGGAAACTGATCTTGACAGACCGTCTGACATAGAGGAGCCTCACGATTGTGCCAGGGGTTCACGAAAGATGTGCAGGAGCTGAAGGGGATCATGCGGAAGCTTTTGCAGGATATGCAGCAGGTGGGTCAAGAGATGGCTATCAACTGAGTTGAAGGGCCGGGGAGATGCCACGGTGCGGAGTATGATTCGTGTGTAGATGATCCATCACCTTCAAGCCCTGAGGAATATTCGGAATGACCATTTCTCGCAGCAGCAGCCTTACCGTGGCACGACTGTCGATGAAGCAGGCTGACCGGCGTCACGGCACTGGTATCGTAGAACAGTATGTACTTTCAATCATTCTTTCTCAGTCATCCAGTCAGCCATCTCTCTATAGCGCTTTTCCTGTTCAGTGTGTAACAACATTTCTATCGCATTGCACACAAATATTGCCAAGGTATTTTCTTCCCTGTTGTATTCGACCCGATCGCGGCCGAGTCGCATGCCTTGGCATCCGACGTCAAAGCCTTTCAACCAGACTGGTTTCCTTCAGTGCAGGTGACGCCCTCCATTTTCCGAGTTCGCAAGGGGCCCTCCTTCCATCGCCTCCGTGCTGGGCCGCCTGTTTCGCCAGTATCGAGCTCGACTGTGCTTAGCAGGTGCTCAGGCTGTGCTACGCCTCCTCAGTTCTCGTGAGGTGGGAAACACGGTGCTCCTGCTCCGCGCCATCCCTTCAATTGTTTTAGTATCAAATTTCATTCATCACTCCATCATGAAGTTTCAGCAAACGCAGACAAGAGGAGTCTCTAAATTTTAGCTTCTACTCATGTCACAGTTTGATTCATAACGACATGAACATAATCGGACAAAGATAGTACGGGAAAACCTGTGAATTGAGATGTATCTTCACATCAGACTTGACCCAGATGCAGGGGCTCAGTAAACAGATGTACAGATCTTAATGGAATTGATGTCTTTCCGCGGCATGATACGATCGAAGAATTGATCAGCATGCTATGATATCTCTATACCCAGCTCCTCAAAATAATTCCAATGCTTTGGCAATCCAATCGCCTCCATGCCGGCTTACGGACTCAGCCTGTGTAGCGTAATTAGGTGACCGCATCAAGGTCTGGCTGTTGGATCAATAAAGAATGCAGATAACGACTATTGCTGAACGTGACTATCATTCTCATTCCTGAGAGCCACTGATTACTTGAAACTTCATTGAATTAGACTGCATGACATGCAGCACCTTCAGGACAGCGCTATCAGCAATATGAGGCATACCGTGACCTGGAACAAGATGCTTCTACAGAACAGGAAGCGCGTGCAGCATGAAAGGGGGCACTTCTGACAGCGCGTGCAACGTGAAGCGTGGCGAACTTCAAAGGTACATCCTCGCAAAACATTCAGTTTACTGCGTCTCCTCGTGATCATCTTACAGCTTACCAAGCGCGACCCGACATCCAATGCAAAAGGCGCCAGCAATGCAAAACATCCCCACTTCTGACGAGTTGCAAGAACGAAGTACTTACAAAAGGTACTGAGGAAGAACTTTTAGACTAGTTATCTTACGTATATCGCTTTCGACGTCATAAACATTATCTCTGCCATCGATCTCTTACCACGCTCTTTCCTTGTCCTTTCTTCTCTTCCTCCTTACCCATCCAACACACGCCATCATTCTGTCTTCCACCTCTCTGGCAGTGAAGTCGTCGACCTGAGGCAAGCCTTCTTGCATCGGGTGACAATCAGACCGGGCCGGTCTCGAGCATAACGAGGATTGCCTGAGTCGATTGACCTTCAAGTCGTTAACCAAGCTATCGACCATATACAAGCAAGCTATCGACCATATACAAGCAAGCTATCGACCATATACAAGCTCCTTGACCTTCATCCCCTCATTCGAAAAGGAACTCGAACCTTCCAGACTATCTTCGAGAGTGCTATAACTGCTTCGGTATCTTCAAATTACTGCTTCACTGGTCAGCCAGTGACACGGACTAATGAACTCTTGCAAGATGATGCGTTGCGCTGGCGGATCGCAGGCACACACGGAATTCCCAGTTCATTCCCAGTGTTCCAGTGAACACTAATAGATATGATAATAGATTTGTACAGGCGTTCAAGCTTAGTTTACTTCAAGCAATCAAGTCTCCCAGAGACACTTCGCCTCGTTCTCCTTTCCCTTCCTGCAGGAAGGAAAGCGTCTCGTGCCCATGCTGATGACTTACGGGTAAGTCCTCCTCTAGCCGTTTGTAATTATTTGTCGGACCCTGAAGTTCCATGACCTGTGATTGCTGTCCTGTAGAGATGTGATAGAAGCTGTCTCGCTTATCGCCTGCTGTCTCCCATGGGTCCTAGGTTCCTGCTGTCTTCTTCGAGGTTTTCCTACCTCGTCCCTATTGAGCTGTTGCTGTCCTTTCCGTCAAGTGAGGCTTGCTCCGAGTCAGTTGCTTCTACAACCCCACCCCCCCTCCTGTCTGTTCCGAGGGGTCCCCAGTTTACTTATCTTCAACTTGCCCTGTCATCGCCCCATGGTCAGCTCCCCCACTCCCAGCGGTGCCTCTAATGACCAAGGTCCATAGTATGTGGTAATTACCTATTGATATACTTATAAAATCACACATGAGACCATGTATGTGAGGTACAAATCGTCCTGCAGCCTTGCTTCGTCGACCCTTGAGTCATCGACCCTTGCTTCTTCCACCCACATCCCACCCACCCCTCAATTTGCCTTCTAAAACCACCCACCTATCCTCATGGCGAGAAGGAACCCCTTTTTCTACAATCAGCTCCTGGGTTATGTACCCCTCCCTCAGATCGATGATACTTTTAAAATTCTTTATTGTTAAAAAGGTAGCATTTCACCATTCGAGGGAGGCGCTTCTTGTCGAAACATTGAGATAATACATCCTTTGAGAAAGGCATCAATGGGGTCATATCGTCAGGAGATAAGGTTTCGGTAGCACTTTTAGAAGCATATGCAACTCAGGAAAAACAATTGACTCACACTGAGTTTGGAATACCCTCCTCAAACAAGTAAAACATGGGGGTGAGAAAGCAAATAAGGCGAAAGAGAGTCCGAATTGGCTTTGGTTTTGTTCTTCTTGTTCGCATTTCTACTTTAAAACAAAGTCTTGATTTTAAAACCAACAAAACAGCCAAACGTTGGGGGTTCCCATCCTTCTTCCATGACGCCTGGGGCCGTATCTGCTTAAAAGAGTTTTTGAAGTTATAAAACAAATCTTTCTCGTACGCGTATAGTACCCCCTAATGGGAGAGGGCTACATGGGTACTGTACCCTACCCGTCGATTTGAACCAATTGAAAGGAAGCATCCTTGACCGGGTCACGAACACTTGATTTACCTTAATTGTATCTATAGGTAATAGTGAGTAAGGATCTATTACACAACCTGTACGATTGTATCCCTACCCCTCTCCAAAATCACCCCACCCCATGGGAAATTTCAATAAAAGATTATTGTGTCTATATAGTTTTTGGGACCCACCCCCAATTTGTACCTGTTGATCCCCTAGGACCCCCGTACTTTCGCTATGAAGTACCGGTGCTTTAGCCCCTGCTTCCCGCTCCCTCCGAGGCTTCAAAAGCATCTCCGCCTGCCTCGCAACCCATCTTGCTCACCCTTCCCCACGCGTTCAGCCCCAACTGAAAGCTCTTCCTCCCTCGTCCTCCTCCCCTCGAAGTCTTCTGACACCAAACTCACACCTCCTGGCTTCCCCCTTCGAACCAAAACACCAAATGGAGAATTCGAACCAGAACGAACATGACTACGATCAGCTTCCGCCAAGGCAGAACAGCCTTCCCCTTGCTGCTGTTGCCATTCCACTGTGTGCTGCCCAGTTGATGGGGACTCGCCACATGAGAGGCAAGGTCATGCAGCTGTTGAGAGATCCTCACGTGTGGCTTCCATGGAAGAACAAGAACCCATGGAAGAACCCGCTTCAGTCCTGGTGGCACAACCCTCACCCTTGGATCAACACGAAGCCATGGAAGAACAACAATCCCTGGCACCCTGTCACAGGGCAGAAGCTTTCCGTCTGGAAGAACCCTGCTCCGTGGAAGAACCCTGCTCCGTGGAAGAACTCGAACCCGTGGAGCCCTCCTCCTTCTGGCGGAGGCATGAAGGCTTAAGTCGTCTATAACTGTGTGTTCACTTACAATGTGCATTAGTGTGCAATAAAACTGTCTTTACTTCAAAGCTTTCGATTGTTGCCATGAATACTTCAGACTTCCGTAGAGTTTCGACACTCACAAACAAATCCTGTGCTAACTACTACCTCCACCAGAATAGACGAGTTGGATGTTTAAGGGTTTAGACGCTAGCAGATTATCAATTCTTCGACACCCAAGTTCGAATCGTATCGTTGGTCCCTCGGATCTGATCGCGCACAGATCAGTCATGTAAGAATCTCCGGATTTATATTACCATGTTCCCGAACGATCCATCTTGAAGCTGCTTCGTCGTTTCTGGCGTCAACTCTCTCATTTTCTGCGCATACTCCTTGCTCTGATGCGTATGCAGCAGTCAGCCAGTCTGAAGATCCTCTTGAGCACACTCACGTCTTTCACGTTATAGTATCTCTTGGTGGCATACCACGCCACACCACCTCCAATCAAGCAAAGAGCAGAACCAGCAATGAAGGCACCTCCTATCGCTTTCGCCTGACAAATCGACGGGTCATGGCCAGTCGCTAAGAAAGCGAGCAAGACATTTCGATTCGCAGATTCGTAGAACTTCTGTGCGCGGAACATCTCTCTCTTGGTCATCGGGCGTCTGGCAGTTGCACACTTGAGAAGAACAAAAGGGATGGAAGAACGTGAGGAGAGCAGAAGGGATGGAAGAACGTGAGGAGAGCAGAAGGGATGGAAGAAGTGACACCATTCACCTTTCTTCTGGCTGCACCTCCATCGACTTCATGAAGTCGTTGAGATAAGCGTAACGGCCTCTCGTGATGGCGTGCAAACCGTCTTGGGCAACCTTGCAGGATGGTGACGTAGTGCATAGGGTTGACCAGAGTCCTACCTCAAATTCTGCATGCGTTTGTGGTTTGGGGAGCTTCACGTTCTTCATGAAGTTTTCTATCTCTTGCAGGACCGAAGGACCTTGGGCCTCCTGCCTGAGCAAGCATGACCTCCAGCTTCCCTTCCAACCACCGAAGCTTACTTGATACGGGGGTGGATGGTCACAGGCGGAAGGTCTTCCACGTTGAACTTCGCCATGGCTCGTGCCGCGCTGACTTCAGCAAGGATGTCAACACCGTTGGCCTCTCTCTTCAGTGCCTGCGACAAGTCTCAACACATGCAAGAGCACGCCGACGGGAGAAACCACCTCTTCGAGTCTCTGCCTCGCCGCGTCCAGCTGACCGGATTCCTTGAGAGCATCTCGAATTGACTTGTACGCATACTTGTCTTTCTCTCGGGCAAAGTGAGTTTCCTCCATCCTTCCCCTTGTCTTGAAGAATTTTTGCGACATTGCGAAGTCGACTGTAAAACTGAAACTGTTGCAATAGTGGTGAGTCTCAACCAAGACCTCTTTGCAGAAGTCTATTTAAATCACAACATGATTTGCGTTGAGCTCTCATCATCAATAAGAAGAATGTAAGTGTTCGGGTCACTGTGTTGCAGCCATATTTTTGGTTTGGTTTTGCAATCAATTTTGACCCACAAATGTAAGGGAAGCTGAAATCGTATTGAGCCTGTTCTAATGAAACCTAACACGATTGGTTCTAAGCTCAAGACAAATCTAGATGAAAGAGACATGAATATGATGAAAATAAGAACAAGACAAGCATTATTGTGACTCTGATAATAATAACATATACATAAGCCAATTTTGTTGTCAGTTCATGCACGATAAGTGGAATTCAGAGTCAACGACAAGTTTGCCGTGATTGAACGCAATGATCGTCATGTCAGTTCATTGGGAAGAGAGAATAGGAGCTCTGAGAAAGCCGAGACTTTATGTCGTAAGTGAACAAGTGAACATGGGGAGGGTTGTAAGGAAAAGGTCGCGACGTTCGACGAACGGCAAGCTCAAATCAGTTCTAGAAGTGCAAGAGAGCGGGAGCGCAAAGAAGCAGCGAGGAGATGAAGGGATGAGGAACAGACAGAAGGGGAGGAGGGAGGGAGGGAGGCGGGGGGGGGGCGGGGGAAGCGGGCGAGCGGCAGGCGCCGCCAGGGGGGACGCAGACTGTAGCGGACAGCATGGTGAGGCGAGCCCAGAAGAGTGTCAGCAGAGGGAGGGTTGATACCTGGGGGTGGGGTAATATTCCGGGTGGTAGGGGTTATGATGAAGAAGGGGTGATAGGAAATGAAATGACAGTGAAAGAAGGGGTAGTGTCAACAGGAGGCCACTTTGCGAAAGAGGGTGGGGGTAGTATCTCAAGGGGTGAAAAGGAGCAAAATAGGGATGGGGTAGTCGGGGTCACAGCAAGTTCGCCTCGGCTTTTCTCCCAGCAGGGCGAAACATGGCAAGGCAGTCGGTATGCCACGAGGAGGAGGCAGGAGGCAGTCCTAGCTCGGCTCGGCTCGGTTGATCGGATCGATATCTTGGTACGACTCGACTGCTCGTTGTCTCGCTACCTGCTCGTCTAGTCTTCTCGAGGAATCCTCCCTTGTCCACCCTTCCTTACCCCTTCCCGCTTGCCTCTCCTCCAGCCCCACAGTGCATCTGGATAGGAGTAGCTTCCTGCTTTGATTCATATCCTCCTTCACACCCTTGCTTTCCCTGATATGATGTTCCGCGGTGTCAGCAAACAGTCTGTAGCCTTCGCTCTTGGCGGCTTCGCATCTTCCATTGTGGGCAGTCTTTTCGGCCCTTTCTCGGTCATCCTCTTCACTCGAGTTGTGCGTCTGCAACCCTCCTCCTTCTATGCCGTGCATGTCGTCTATGCCGTCTGGAACGCCATCAACGATCCTCTCTTCGGGTGGATGATCGACCAGCAGGCCGACCGCTCCCACCGCCGCCTTCCTGTCCTCAAGTACGGGGGTCCCATGTGGAGCCTGAGCTTCATGGTCACGTGGTATCCCTGGTCGTCGGACGGCAACTCATGGGCGGCTGTCCTGCACTTCGCCATGTCGATGATGATGTACGATGGCTTCCTGACCTACGTCATGATCACCAAGTGCGCCCTACTCGCGGACCTGTGCGTCGACTCCAGGGAGCGGCTGAAGCTCAACTGGTTCTCCTCCTGGTTCGGCTTGGTCGGCTCCTGCATCGGGACGACGGCATACTACCTGTGGGACGAGGACAACCTCGACCCCTTCCGGCGCTTCTGCTGGGGGTGCTCTCTGCTCTCTGCCATGGCCTGGTATGCAAGCGGCTCGATGCTCGTGGTCCCGTCTTCTTGCTCCAGCGACCCCTCCTCCCACTCGCCCAGTCAAGCCATGCTGACGGATGTGCGGACGGAGGGTGAGAAGAGTCGATGGGGGCTGCAGAGGTTGGGAGGATGCAGGTTTGGCTTGCAGCGATGGATGGAATTCGCTCGTCAGCTCCTACAGCAAAAGAACTTCGTGCTCTACGTCTGCATGAATGTGAGAAATCCTCCTCCCCCCTCCTCATCCCCCCCCCTCCTCCTCCTCCCCTCCTCCTCCTCTTCTCCTCTTCTCCTCCGCTATCTCGCTGACGTTTGCTGCCCCCCCTCCAGTGGATGATGAATTTCAACGTCACGCTCTCCAAGTCCTTCTTCATCTTCCTGGACAAGCTTCTCATGACGCCCCTCCTCCCTCCTCCTGCTCACGCCGCCTTCACCGCCCTCGTCCTCTACCTCCCCAAGATCGGGGTTCAGCTCTTAACGCCGCTGGCGAGTCGCTGGGGACTGCACCTGCTCATGTGGCGGGTGACGATAAGCATGCTGCTGTCGTGCGGTCTTGCCCTCCTCGTGGGCATCAGCCACTACATGACCTGGTGCTCCCTGTACGTCCTGCAAGCCCTCCTCCTCACCAGCTGGGGCTTCTACGACCTGGTGAGTCAAGTAGGAGGAGCAGGAGGAGCAAGAGGAAGGTTCAGGACAGAACAGGGTTGTAAAGGAATGGGGTGGGCTGATCCTATGCGTGCAGATCATGGCGGACGTGATCGATGAGGACGCGGTGAAGTGGAGGAGGAGGGAGTCGGTCGCTACCTCCGTCCATGGCGTCCAGTCGCTGCTCGTCAAGCCTTCGCAGTCTCTTGCTCCGGTCGTCGGCGTCTTCATCCTAAACTCCTTCGGTCTCAGTAAGGACAGCACCCCTGAAACGTCTCCCCCTCCCCCTCCCCTTGCTGCCTCCGTTTCTGCTCCTTCCCCCGCTCATCTCCCTTCTTCGTCTCGCTCCTCCTCCCCTTCAGACCTCCAGGTCGCCATCTTTGGCCTCTCGTTCGCTCTTCCCATGCTCTGCTCGGCCCTTCAGCTCGTCATCTGGTACCATTACGATCTCAAGGGCGAGAGGCTGGCAAGGGTGAAGAACAGCTTGATGATGATGAAGCAGGAGGAGAGCGAAGAGAAGCGAGTGGACGAGCGGGAGGAGTGAACATCTCTATCCTCGCCTCTCGTCCTCTCAGGCTACCCCCTCCTCTTCCTGACTCTCCTCCCCTTCTCTTTCTCTCCCGCCCCTCAGCTCTCCTCTCCTCCTAGTTGTTGCAAGAAACTTGTGATGGCTGTATTGAACTCAAGCAAGGGCTGCAGTATGTAACATCGGGGGTGACTTGGCGCACGAGAAAAACAATATGTGGAGCAGGAGGAAGCGGATTCTTCTATGCTTCTTTCCCCTTGTTCTTGCGCTCGTCCGGCAGGCTGAACAGGAGGATGAAGAGAGCGCGAGCAAGAGAGGATGTTCTACCTGTAGAGAATCGTCGCTGCCAGGACCAGAGATGTTCCAACAAACCTGAAGGGTGAGGGAATGAGGCAGGAAGGGGAGGGGGAAGGGGGACGGGTCTGAGAGGATGGGGGGCAGAAAGAGGAGGGAGGGGAGGGGGTGGAAGTGGGACGAGAGGAGAGGAAGAGAAGAAAATCACCAGGCGGTGGTGGGGAAAAACTTGAGCGCAGGGACCATGTACATGGAGATGATGCCTGAAGCGATGATGGACTGCCGGACATCAGCATCAGCAAAAGGAGGAGGAGGAGGAGGAGGAGGAGGAGGAGGAGGAGGAGGAGGAGGAGGAGGAGGAGGAGGAGGAGGAGGAGGGAAGGGAAATCGAGCACCGA